CATGCCCTTAATCCCAGCATACAGAAGACTGAGGCAGGAGGATTTGGGGGAGTTCGAGGCTACCCTGGGCTACATAGTGAGTTTAATTACTATGTAAATTACAGAGTGAGATCCTGTCTCAAAACACAAGCAAGTAAACATCAAAAAAAGTGTCAATATGACATTTGTTTACATTGTAAAAAGATTCCCTGCAGTTACTTAAATATAAGCTCCCTTTTTGATTTAAATAATTGTAAACAACTGTTAAGATTCCTACCAGCCAGGAGTACTTGGGAGGCTGAGGCAGAAGAATCACTGTGAGTCTGAGATGAGCATGGGCTACAAAGTGAGCTCAAGGCCAGCCTGAACCACATATGGGACCCTGTCAAAAAGACAAAAAAAAAAAAAAAAAAAAAGATTCCTCCTAGCCGCTTCACAGAGGGAAGCATCCCCTTGCCACAGACTGTTGTTGCTGTTAGTTGGTTTTTCAGTCCATACTTGAAGAGGCAGCGCTGTCCTGAGGACTCGGGTGTGGCGGGGTGCTCCCAAAGCCCTGCTGGCAGACAGCTCTGCAGACCACCTGAGAGCGAGTGCACAGCCCGAGCAGGCTTCTTCAGCAGAGCGCACTCGCCACCTCATCTTGGTCTTGATTTGGAAGGTGGCTCATTGTGTCAGCAGCACAGGGTCCCGAGGTCTGGCTGGGAAGGCGCCACCCGATGGCTTCTAAACACCATCTTCCAGGTACCTGCAAGGCAGAGCAGCTTGGGTTTCCCCTCAGGAGAAGCCTAGATTTCTCTGTTCTGGACCTATCGTATTTGTAGTTATACTTCTTTTCCCTTTTTCTACGTTTTAGTTTTATTGTGGTGTAATTGGCCCACCAGCAAATGCATATACTTCAGGTGTCCAGTTTTACAAATGCTGGCCTTGAGGTGCTCCGCACTCCCTCATGTGGGTGCAGCTGTGACTCCCAGCCCCACGCAGCGCTGCCTTCCTGCCCCTCCCATTCCAGTGCTGCTCCTTTCTGCAAGCTACAGATAAAACTGCTGCATATATTAGCTCACAAACCGGCCTGCCTCCCCAGGCACAGAGGCACACACTCGTCACCTCAGCACTCAAGAGGCTGAAGCAGGAGGATCGCCACCAACCTGAGCTCAATAGTGAGTTCAAGACAGCCTGGACTGCGTAGGGAGACCCTGCCCCAAAAACAAGAGAATCCTATTGTTGTTGGGTAGTTCCTTTAAAATAACTCACCAGACAAAAGTATTACACATCTTTCTTGACTCAAAGAATTAGATGAGACAAGCCAAAAAGGTACCAAAAGTTTATTTCTAAGGTGAGGGATGATGCTGGCTATGGTGGCCCACTGGTAAACCCCTGCACTCAGGAGGCAGAGGCAGGAGGATTGTGGTGAGTTCGAGACCAGCCTGGGCAACACAGAGTTCAGGGTCAAGCTGGACTACATAGTGAGACCTTGTCTCAAAAAAACAAGAGGTGGGGGGATAAAAAGGTGAGTCACGAAATGGCAAGGGAAAAGCAAAAGGGTAAAAGTGAAAAGAAAGCGTGAGCTGCTGTGCAGCGGGGCTAGCAGGCTTCCCTGGCGGCCGGTCTCCTTCCTGCAGTCCACGTGGCCTGGAGCCGGGAGGGGTCCTAGCTGTGGGGCCCCCAGGGGCAGCTGCTGCTCCCCCGGATCTTGAAGTTGACAAGGCCCACCCGCTTCTCCAGGCAGCTGTGCCGCCCCACACACGCCTGCGTCGCTGCGGAGTCTAGAAGCAGACTAGGCCTCCGAGGTGAGCGTAGCGAAGTTGCAGGATCCACCACGAGTACACAAGAAAGCAGCTGAGTATTTACATTAGTAATGTACGCAGTTGTGTGTACCGATGTCATATATGCTAGTAGTGAACACATATTAAAATATTTAACACTTAATGTTAAATTTATATTAAGGTACTATTTACTCATAGCATCAAATATAGGCCCTACTAGGAACGTATCTGATAAAAGTCACATAAGACCTGCACATTGAGAATGAAGAAATCCTGCTGAGGAAAATGAAGGAAACCTAGATGAGTGGAGACATGAAGTACACATAGCTCAGAAAATGCAGCGCTGAGACGGGGCGTGGTGGGGCGCGCCTGTGATCCCGGCTCTTGCGAGGCTGATCTAGTAGTGAGACCCTGAGCACCCTGTAGACTCTCCCCTAAAATGCAAAAAAAAAAAAAAGCAGCGCTGTTGTCAGCTCTGCAGAACTTCTTATAGACTTCATGTAACAACGATCCAAATTCCAGCAGGCTTTTCTCTTCTCCCTGCGTTGTGGCCCTGGGGACTGCACCCTGGGTCTTGTGCACAGAAGGCAATCATTCTACACAGAACGATGGTCCCAGCCCCTCACTTTTTTTTTTTTTTTTTTTTAATTCTGAAACAGGTCTCCTATATTTCCCAGGCTCGCCGGCCACGTACAGTCCTCCTGTCAGCATCCTGAGTTAAGGTATATGCCACCACACTCAGCTAGCAGGCTTTTAACAACCTGCTTCTAAAACTTTTATGGGGCTGGGGAGATGGCTCAGTAGAATAAGTGCTTCCCTGGCAAGCACAAGGGCCAGAGTTCAATCCCCCATTCCATAAAAACAAAAAAAAACATTTATGAACCAGGTGTGGTGGCACATGCCTGCAATCCCAGCACTCAGGAGGCTGAGGCAGAAGGATCACCATGAGTTTCAAGCCAGCCTGGGCCACATAGTGAGTTCAAGGCCAGGTTGAACTACAAAACAAGACCCTGTCTCAAAAATAGTTTGTTAATTAATTAATTAAAACTTAAATGAAAATGCAAAGTATCTAGATGAGCCAGAACACAACTTCAAAAAAGAATTTAAAAAGACGAATTATACTGCTTATTTTTAAAACTTATGAACTATAATAATCAAGATACTGCAGTGTTAGCATAGGGAGGCAGATGGATCAGTGGGACTGCAGAGTCCAGAAATAAAATCTTCTTCTGTGAGAACAATTGATTTTCAACAAAAGTGCCAACACAGTTCATTGGAGAAAGGTTAATCTTTAAACAGACTGTACTGGTGCAACTGGATGCCATGTGTGTGGGGGGCGGGGGGACCCACCTCAACCTTAATACCTTTTGCAAAAATAACTTGAAATGAGTCATATGGGGTTGATCCAAATGTGCTATGAGTATTTATTAGGGAAGGGTCTACAGGGTGTTCAGGGTCTCACTACTAGATCAGAGGTAGTGATCCGCCTGTTTACAGCCTCCCAAGAGCTGGGATTACAGCCGTGCACCACCACACCCCATCTCAATTGCTGTCTCAGCATGCCCCGGGGTGCGGCCAGCGCGACAGGCCCAGGATCGAACCCCCAATCCCTGAGCCAGCTTACAGGTGCTTTAATCCACTGAGCTATTTGGCTAGCCCTGGTTTTTGTTTTTGTTTTTTGTTGTTGTTGTTTTTGGTTTTTTGAGACGGTCTCCTTATGTAATCCAGGCTGGTTTTGAACTCACTGTGAGGCCCAGTCCAATCTTGAATTCAGAGTGATCTCCTGCCTCAGCCTCCCAATCCCTGGGATGACAGGCGTGAGGCATCACACTCAGCTGGGGTTTTGTCAGATGCTCTGATTGCATCTGTTAAGATGATCTGTAACCCTAGTATACCGGAGGCTGAGGCAGGACGATTGCTGTGAGTTGGTGCTGCAGGACAGCCTGGGTTACAAAGTGAATTCATTGCCAGCCTGAACCACATAGTGAAACTCTGTCTCAAAAAGACCAAAAAAAAAAAAAGGTAGACTTCACCACTGGCTCCATCAGGACGTGGAATTTTCTTTATAGGATGCTTTAAACTGCAAATTCATCATGTGGCATCAACGCGGGCTGTTGGGTTATCACAGGGAGCTCGCCGTGTCTGAAAGGAATTCTCCCCACTGCCTGGCTGGGCAGCGCCGCCCTATGCCGCCTTGCGCCCTGTCCTGGGCCAGTGTGTGTAGACCAGAGTGCCGTCCCGCTGGTCCCCACGCAGTGGTGGGGCACGGTCCCTCCCGCCTCTCCCTCTCGCCAGGCTGAGGAGAGCTTTGCCCTTTCACCCGCTTGTTCCAGGCTGGGCTCCTCGCGCAGCCGCCTGGGGTCCCTGGCCCTGAGCGGGGAGCGGCTGGGCCACCAAGGACGCCCTGGAAGCTTCCACCGCTTGTGTGGCAGCCGCACGCAGGGGGCCAAGGCGCCTTAGGCTTCTCCTCATTTAACTCTCTCAGGAATCCCGTGCGGCCAATATACAACATTAGAAAAAACTTCATTTATTTTGTCTGTATTTTAATGTTTTTGAAGGGCGAATAAACCTGGCTCCTTTTATTCTCTCTTGACCAAAAGCTGAAAGCCTCAACCCTATTTTGTGTTTCACACTACTTTACTGAAATGTCAGGCCGGTCCGCGGTGCCTGCTTGCAGCTTCTGGCAGTGGATGGAAGGTGGCGGGTCCTTGGCAAGCTGGCCTGTCCCTCCCGGGTGGTGCCCAGCAGCAGCATGCTAGAAGGATGGCAGCGCGGGCAGCGGGGTCTGTGCAAGGAGGATGCTAAGTGATGTTACTTGGCCAGCATTTCTTACTCAAAATCCCTACCCCCCTCTTTTTTTTTCCTGTTGCTATTGTTGTTGGTGTCATTGTACTTGGGGATCTCATTAGATAGCCAGGCAGGCCTTGAGTGCACCTGTAACCCAGCCTGGCCTCTACCTCGAGACCCTCCTGCCTCAGCCACCGCAGGCGGCACCACCGCACCCCGTGGGCCTTCCTGAGTGGCAGGAAAGCAGGATCGGTGAGCACAGAAAGACCTGCGAGACTCCATGGCAATATGGCAAGTTGTGCTGCCGGTTAGGCTCCGAGGAGGCCTGACCTGGAGGCCGTAATGGCAGGGCAGAGGCCTGGCCCCTGCGGGGGGACACCTTCCTGCAGAGCCCGAGGGAAGGCTAGGGGCTGGAGTGCGTCTGTCGGGGCATCTCCACGCCCTCACGCCGCTCGTCTCTGCCTCTTCCAGGGTTCCTGTCGCAGCTGGTCGCCGACAAGGCCCTGACCGAGTGCATCCGCGCAGGCCACTATGCGGCGAACGTGATCATCCGGCGCAGAGGCTGCACCTTTCCTGAGAAGCCGGACTTCCGCTGAGGTCGAGCCGCTGCCCTGCCTGCCGCCCGGCCCGCCGCGGCGTCCCTGTGTCCCTGCCCCGCGCAGGGCGCCCCTCGCGCTCCTAGGATCTGTAGTCTCAGCAGCCGTAGCTTGTTGGTGCATCTTCAATGTTAGACCGGAATAGAGCAATTTTATTTCAATTACTCTGTAAATTCATGTGTATTTAGTAAATTGAACTGTTTTTTTACATTTCTGCTTTGAATGCAGATGCAATTTAATATAATAGATTTTTTAAAGAAATTAATCTTAACACATCTATCTCTAGCTTTTTATATATAACTTTAGAAATGCGTGTATACACACATCTAGATAAAGGAACCACATAGAATCATGATAGTCCAGTAAGGTATGAAAATATACATCTTGCCAAATGATTCCAGATAATCTCAAAATCGTTAGTGTACACTCAATCAGGTAGTACACTTTGGATAACTGAGTAATTTCCCAAATGTTAAATTGTATTACAATATTCAGATCATAATCTGCTTACTTATGATACTCTTTCATTTGATACAAATAAAACTTGCTATATAGGAATTTTGTCTGTCTTTTCTTGTGCTCAGTAAAACTAAGGGAGAAACAGTATTATTTAGGTATATAATTTTTTTTCTTCATTTATATATTTGGTACAGGGTGTCACTCTGCAGCTCGGACTCATAGTAATCCTCCTGTTTTCAGCCTCCCCAGCGCTGGGATTACAGGCCTGCGCCACCACGCCCAGACACGTTACCTGGCAGTGAGGGGGCCTGGTATGCAGGGCGGGACTGAACCCTGGTCCCCACACTTGTCAAAGCAAGCGCCTCGTCCTCTGAGCTATATTGCTAGCCCTGAAAGAGTGCTATTTAGCACTGGCCCTGCAGTGATGTCTATTCTACTGATGTAATTAGAAAGAATATGCCACATTGAAAAATAATACTCTGAAATAAATAAATAAAATAATACTCTGGGCCAGGGAGATAGCTCAATGGCATAAGCACCTGCCTGGCAAGCATAAGGACCCAAGTTCAATCCCCAGTACCTAAATAAATAAGTAGAATTTTTTTTTTTTTTTTTTGGTACTGGGGATTGAACTCAGGACCTTGCACTTGCCAGGCAAGTGCTTATTCTACTAAACTATCTGCCCGGCCCCAATTAGTAGAATTTTTTAAAAGAAGAAAAATAATATTCCTGGAGATCATTAAGTCACTTTTTTATTTTTCTTTTAATATTTGAGATTTTTGTTTTAATATTTAATATAGGAGTTTCACCATATTGAGGTTGTTCTTGAGTTCCTGGGCCCAAGTGACCGCCCTGCCTCAGCCTCCTGTGTGCTGGGTCAGGATTTGTCATTCTTTTTTTTTTTTTTAAGAACTTTTTTTTTTTTTGCTGGAACCGAGGATTGAACTCAGGCCCTTGCACTTGCCAGGCAAGCACTTATTCTACTGAGCTATCTTCCCCGTCCCCCTGGATTTGTCATTTTAGAGAAAGACAATAGGTTATAAACAACTGACAGTGTGTCCCACACCACAAGGACGTCCCAGCTCCTCGGGAGGCTGAGGCAAGAGCTCAAGGCCAGCATGGGCAAAATCGCAAGCTCCCATTTAAAAATAACAGAAAACTACAATGAGCTTAGTGGCATTTTAAGGGTCTCCTTCCTGTTACTCAAATCCTAAGACCTGCTAGAAACACACTGTGGCCTACACAAGAGACAGGAAATCAACAACAACAACAAAGTGTCTCTGGATTGGGGAGATAGCTCGGCAGTCTAAGTGCCTGCCTGGCAAACTCAAGGACCCAAGTTCGTTCCCTGGTACCACATGCCGTGCCAGCCCTGGAATCCCGGGTGTGCCAGCCAATCCCAAAACCAGGGGTAGTGTACACCTGTAATGCCAGTGCTGGGGAGGCTGAGACAGGAGGATCACGTCAAGTCTGAACTGTATAGTGAGACCCTTTATCAAATAAATAAATTTTTCAAGATAGCTCAGCGGACTAAGCCCCTGCTTAGGCAAGCACAGGGACTGGAGTTCAATCCCCAGCACCACATGCCACGCCAGCCCTGCGCCTGGGCATGATGAACCGGCCACAGACCAGGTGTGGTGGCGTGTGCCTGTAACCCCAGTAAATGAATGGGCTTAATTCAATGTCTAATTCTGACAGTGAATTAGAGCAAGAGCTGCGGAGGCTGAAAAATAGGAGGATCACTATAAGTCTGAGTTGTGGAACTAGATCCTGTAACAAATACATTAAAAATTAAAAATAATTATTTTTTAAAAATTATCTCTGAGAAAGGCAAGACATTGAACTTAACTAGACAAAGACTTTAAGTTGTTTATATTAGTTATGTTCAAACAGCCAAAAAGAAATACTGTGAAGAACTAAAGAAAAGTATATCTCACCAAAAAGAATACCAAGAACACAGATCAGGATGACCTGGAGCTCAGAATCGAAGTTTTATAGACAAAGTAGCCCAGGTCAGTACAATGGCACATGAACAATCAGATTTGCAAGTTTTGGAAGAGGTCAAAAGTGAATGGTCAGGGCTGGTGAGATGGCTCAGTGGTCTAAAGCACCTACTTAGAACAAGCTTAGCAAAGCACTGGGACCGCGGTTCAATCCCCCAGCACCACATGCCAGCCAGCCCCGCCCCCTGGTGGGCTGAGCTGGCCACACACACACACACACACACAAATAAGTAAAATAAAAAAAAAAAAAAAAAAAAAGTGAATGGTCAGGGTTGAGGATATAAGTCAGAGGTACCGCGCCTGCCTGGCAAGCACGAGGTTCTGAGTTCGGCTCCTAGTACCTGTCAAAAAAAGAATCAACAGATTACACATGGATGATGAATATGATCCATTAGGTATGGATGCTTTGATACATGCTTTGATAGCAAGAGTGATGTGAGTGGGTGATGTGATGCTGGTGGTAATGGTGACATCGGCCATGTTCCTGCCTCAGCCTCCCAAACAGCTGGGACTTCCTTGTAGTGTGTGCCACGCTGCTATTTGTAACATTTTTGTCTTCCTCTAAAGAGTGACAAATCCTGACCCTGTTACAGGAGACCGAGGCAGGAAGGTCACTTGGGCATAAGAATTTGAGACCAACCTCAATATAGCAAGACCCCTATCTCAAAAATGAAAACAAAATCAAAGAACAACAAAACAGAGTTCTTGTAACAGGTGAATTGGAGCCAGAACCAACGGATACAGACACAGGGATGCAGACCTCCTTGATTCAGATGACCGAGGAAACGGCGATGTGAGTACATATTGGCCTAGTGGAAATGTTGCACAATGGAATGACCCAGTGTTATAAGTCTGAAAATACAGTGAAGGTCTTGGCAGGGGTGAAATGTATTAGAGAGGGGGCTGGGGAGATAGCTCAGTAGAATAAGCGCTTGCCTGGTGAGTGCAAGGGCCTGAGTTTAATCCTCAGTTGCAAAAAAAAAATTGTATTAGAGAGGAGGATTGTGACAGACACTGCTGCACAATGCTGGGAAGGCACAAAGGTTAGAATGCAAGGAAAACAGTCCATATGCACCAGCAGCTGTACGTGCAACTGTATGATGACTCCTCACTTGATGAGCTGAGAGCATGCAGAGGTCTGCCGTACTTAGCACAGATTTCTGGTGATTGCAGGAATGTAGAAGACAGAAAAGCAGTGGGTCCAAATATGGCATAAAAAATACATACTTTTTTTTTTTACTATGCTTAGACTTACTATGCTTCCAATTTAGACATTTATCCTGGAGCTCAGCCATTGGGTTCTTATTCATATAGTAGTAAACCAAATATGTTGGGAACAGATTTGTTGTTCCCGTCTTCCAAACTAATTGGTTGGTTGCTTGGTTTGGTTGGTTTGGTTTGGTTTTTCAGACAGAGTCCCACTATGTAGCCCAGGCAGGCCTCAAACACAGCAACCCTGCTACCTCAGCCTCCCAAGTAGTGGGATTACGGCATGCACCACCATGCCCGTCAATCCCAAACTAACGGGAATGTGACAATGGACAACTGGTTTACAGTTTGCATTCAATGTTATATTTGCTAATAAAGCACAAGTTGACCCGCACAGGAACTGTATACAGGAAGAAAGCAGAAAATTCCAAATGAAGTGTTGCAATTTCAAAACAGTATTGTATAGTACAGTCTTCAGATTTCTATCCTTTTTTTTTTTTTTTTTTTTTTTTGGCAGAACCAGGGATTGAACTCAGGCTCTTGCACTTGCCAGGGAAGTGCTTATTCCACTGAGCCATCTCCCCGGCCCCAAATTTCAAACAAAGGTGTAACATTGACCTCAGAGATGGCAAAGAAAAGCAGACTGGGAGTGCTGATGTCAATATTTCACCACAGTGGGAAAATATTGAGAGGGAACCTCGACAAAACAGAAGCCTGAGAGGGAAACTTCAACCACAAAACCAAACACGGAGCAAATGTTGAGGGTGGATTAGGCAGCCACTGTGACGTCACTTGTAACACAAGCGTTAGCCAGTGGTGGTGTTTTACTTGATCCTAAATGTGTGTAGCTTCCCAGTTTATAAAGAAAATAACAAGTGCAGGCTGGTGCAGTGGCACACACCTGTGAGCCCCACACTTGGGAGGCTGAGGCAAGAGGATTCACTATGACTTCTAGGGCATCGAGGGCACTACTTAGTTCAAGGCCAACCTGAACTACTTTGTCTCCAAAAAGACTAAAACTAAATAAAATAACAAGTACAAAATACCACAGAGAAATTTCTTAGAGGATTAAGCCTGGAACTTAGAAGAAGTCATTTACAGCAGAAGAAAAACAAAAAGTGTCTGCCCAGGAAACTACACACACAGGAAACTGTGGAGCACAGTGTGCGAGCTGACCTGGCGGGGGCAGCATCTCAAATACCTGCTATGACAACAGAAAACAACATGCCAACTGTGGCTTAGGGGAAAGACAGGGAAACACAACAGCACTAAGCGGTACTTGTGCATAGGACATGGAGTTGTCGTGTGTGAGGACTGCCTTGGGTGTGACAGTTAAAGAAAGGTAATTTTTCTGATAAAGTTCTATTGGCACTTTCATTGTAGTTCATATAGGAATTTGTTTCTGGTGTTTTGGGGGGTTTTTTGTTGTTGTTTTGTTTTGTTGTTTTTTTTTTTTTTTGTGTGTGTGTGTGTGGCATGCTCAGGCCACCCTAGGGGCAGGGCTGGCACAGCATGTGGTGCCAGGGATCGAACCACAGTCCCTGCACTTGCCTCAGCAGGGGCTCAGTCCACTGAGCTATGTTGCCAGCCCCCCCCCCCCCCCCGTGTTTGGTTTTGTAATTAGATACACAGCTGACGTGAAAATGTTGATGTCTGCCCTAAGCACAGAATGCATGTTAAGAACTCAATATTTTATTGGTAGTTTATATTCCTGTTAACTGCACACTGTATAACATAAGAAGCACCTCCTGACAGCAAGACCACTGACGTGTCAAGTATGTCCTGCGAAGAGGACAGGAAAGCAAAACACATGCTGTCAGCGTCAGCGATGCACGTGCGCGGAACGTGCTGTCGTCACGTGTGACACTGCCTCCTGCGTGACAATGG